AGCGGAGAGTTTTTTTTTTTTCTCTCTCTCTCTCTCTCTCTCTCTCTCTCTCTCTCTCTCCACTCAGAGATTAGACTTTGAGTTTAAACTTGATGTGATGCAATTGCAAATATAATGTACTGTATATGGAAAAAAGGAATAAGGAGAAATCCATTTGGGTTTCATATAGGCTACAGAAGTCTGATGCTGAAAACTAGAAAAGTTTATGAGCATTTGCCCTGCTTTGGTTGATTATTTATTACTCTAGAGCAGGGCTCTCAAACTTAAACTACCTCCATCATTCTCCACTGGAACAGTTATAAATGTGAAAGTTATACATTTTACATAGTGTAAAAAAATATATAAATTCATTATTTTTAATAATGATTATAATTGAATAGTGCATTTTTTCTACATATAGTAATATTTATTATTAAATAATTGATGCTATACATAGACTCATTCTTGATAGATTCATTAATTGACATATTTAAAAAGACTTCTTAGAAAAATATTTTCTATCAAATATCAAACTCAAAAGAGCTGATGTAATTAGTGTATTTTTTAAAACGTAAGAAAATTTTAAATTATTGTATAGATTTTTTTTATTATTGCTGTTAAAATTATTTTAATTTCTACTTCTCTTAGTTTAAAAATAAGCTCTTTTTTTCTTTATCTATAGAAGTAAAAATTCAAAACATCTCTGCAGCCTCAGTGACATAAGTATTTGCTTTCTTTTCCTCTGCTCTCTTGCATGGCTAAAATTTGGTGCAGTACCACGGGGAAAGCATGATCAGTTTCTGCTTGGTGGGTAAAGATAGAATAATGTGTGTTCAGTCCAATAGTGAACTTATGAAAATGCAGAAACACAAAACTGAATAAGTGGATTGCTTCCTGTTCACAGGAAAGGCAGAGAAGACAGATGACTCGACCTTGTCTGACCTTTCGCCCATGTCGTCTGGAGTAGAATCAGGTCAGCAGTCTCCTGTTTCACCAGAGCACAAGAAGAACCAGAAAGGCATTCTAAAACTGTGGGGAAAGTGAGTATTTGAGTTTTTTTTTTTTTTTTATCGGTTAAAGACGGCTTTCAAAATAAGCATTATGTTTTTGATGTATTTTTAAGTGATACTGTATGAAATATGGAAATTAGTGTAGGGCAAAAGTTTTCAGGATTTGATTGTATCATGAAATGTGGCTTGTGATATTATTGACTGTATTCTTTATTTCGCCCATATGGCCACACATTTTTTTTTGTCCTCTGGTTCATAGGATCAGGAGAACACAGTCAGGCAGTCTTCCTGCAGACGGTTCTGATTCTGACTTCAAGCGAGGGGGTTTCAGGGCCACAGCCGGCCCTCGACTCACCTGCCTGGGCACCAGCGCCTCAGCACGGTATTTCATCACCTACTATGCAATATGCATAAACAAGCACCGTGTTTCTAATATTGTACATGTGTTCTGCAGTGACATGAAAGCCCCCTTCTCGAAATGGTCATGTGATCAGGTATGTGCATGGATGGAGGAGTTTGGTCTGGGTCAGTACGTGAATATGGCTAGACAGTGGGTCACTAGTGGTCAGACTCTACTCTCTGCCTCCTTGCAGGACATTGAGAAGGTGAGAGATACTTCATTCAAGATTTTAGCAAAAGACTATGGGCTAAAGCAGGGGTAGGCAAGTTCGGTCCTAGAGAGCCGCAGTCCTGCAGAGTTCAGCTCCAACCCTGAAAAAAAAACTCACCTGCCTATAGCCTTAGTAATCCTGAAGACATTGATTAGCTTGTTCAGGTGTGTTTGATTAGGGTTGGAGCTGAACTCTGCAGGACTGTGGCTCTCTAGGACCGAACTTGCCTACCCCTGGGCTAAAGCAATAACAAATTCAGACCTGTGGCTTACAGCAACAATCTGATTTCCTCATTCAACACTGTGAAGTGATTTGGCTATGCCTCTCGCTTCAGGTGGTTGTGGTGCCACTCAAATCCTGGTTTGGTTCTACCTGCCAGGGCGACTTTAACCTCTGTTCCGCACCAGTAATGCTGCATGACTTAGTAATTTGTTCTGCCATCAAACCCACTCAAATTAATGTTCGGCTTTGGTTTTTAGTGAATCTGAACCATTATAGCATTTATGTGAGGTTTTATGCTTTATTTAATTGAACATTTCAAAGTGTTTGTTTTCATTTCTTGATATTGATAACTCCATTACCAAAGAAACAACATTTCTTTGAACATTTCAAAGTGTTTGTTTTCATTTCTTGATATTGATAACTCCATTACCAAAGAAACAACATTTCTTTGAACATTTCAAAGTGTTTGTTTTCATTTCTTGATATTGATAACTCCATTACCAAAGAAACAACATTTCTTTGAACATTTCAAAGTGTTTGTTTTCATTTCTTGATATTGATAACTCCGTTACCAAAGAAACAATATGCTGTCGCAACCATTTTGATTTCTGAATTGTTTTTTTTGTTTTTTTCACATGTAGGAGCTGGGAATTAAACATCCGCTTCACAGGAAGAAGCTCCAGCTGGCTCTGCGCTCCTTCAGCACCAAAATCACAGAGAAATCCTCTGAACTGGACCACATCTGGGTCACACGTATGTACCCATGAACCACTCTTATGAGACAAATGCGGACAATTTTCATCATTCTGCATATGCATCACAGTTTTGTTTTAGCACATATGGAGGACCAGTGCTGTAAAAAATAAAATTAATCAGTCCAAAATATGAATTAAAATATACAAATGTAAACAAATAAATAATCTTTTCAAATGAACAAATACACAGAATTGATGTTTAATTTTTTTTTAAATGCAACATTTAAATTGTATTTATGAAGGGCTTTTTATTAACTACATTTTAAAACATGAATTAAACTTTTAAATTTGTATATTTATTTGTCAAATTAAAAGGTTTTTATAATTAATTGCTTCACTTTAAGTGACACTCCTAGTTCTCCATGCATACATATATTTTAGATAATGTAAGTAAAAAATTGCAGTTACACTTTGTATAAAGAAACCATGTTATTTCTACACAGGGTGGCTGGATGATATTGGTTTACCACAGTATAAAGACCAGTTTAGTGAAGGACGTGTGGACGGTAAAATGCTGCAGTACTTGACAGTGGTAAATATCTTTGTTAACTTCCTATAGTGCCTTGCCAATCAAGTTGGAGGACTGGAATTAACTAATATATCATGTGTGATCAATATTGGTATTTTGGTTTCATTTTCAGAATGATCTGCTGTTCCTGAAAGTCACCAGTCAGCTCCATCATCTTAGCATCAAGTGTGCAATCCACATCCTACATGTTAACAAGTTCAACCCCAACTGCCTCAAAAGAAGACCTGGAGATGAGGTGTGGATGAAATAAACAGAAACAAAGAGAGGGTGATTTACTTCCAGGACTGATATTGCTCGTTATTTATATGCTAATTCATGTTGTTTGACAGAATAAGACATCGCCTTCTGAGGTTGTTCAGTGGTCCAATCACCGTGTGATGGAGTGGCTCAGATCGGTTGACCTGGCAGAATACGCTCCCAACCTGAGAGGCAGCGGAGTGCATGGAGGACTCATAGTGAGTAACTCACGTTACACGTTCCCCTGCTACTCCTAAATGAATTCTTATGGGCTCTTTTCACAACCAGCAAGCAGCCATCCAGACCACCCTAGCAAATGCATAGCAGCACACTAAAAACTACTCAGAACAACATAGTAACTGCAGATCTTTTTTCACAGATCTTGGAACCTCGTTTTAACTCGGACACACTGGCGATGCTCCTGAACATCCCCCCTCAGAAGACTCTGCTGAGGAGGCATCTGGCCACTAATTTCAACATGCTGGTGGGCTCTCAGGCTCAGTGGGAGAAACAAGAGTACCTGGAATCATCAGGCTACATGCCGCTAACCACCACCGCTAAAGTCCGGGTGAGAAATCGCAGATTTGTCTTTGATTCACATTTGCTGACCAAATATTTAGAAACGCCTTCATCCCTGCAGCTGAATGAAGTCGGAAGCCCTGACATAAACAGACACATGCTTCAGCTGCCCGATTCCGGTTTAATCTCAGCTGATGCAGCACGTGTTTTGACACTTCAATTTCGCTTAGTCCATCTAGACCAAATGTGCTGAGTGAATGCTCATACAGTATGTAACACACTAAGCACAATGAAGCTTTAGATGAAACATTTCTGTCATCATTTAGGCAGTTGAGCCATTCATTTTCCTGATAATAGAAAGAGTGTGTGTTTAAAATGAAATCAATTATTTCCGGTAAAGATGACAAACAGCATTAAAGGGTCTTATTATTTTTCTGTTATTTTGAGTCTTTTAAAAAAAATGTAAACTGATTCTGGAGATTCATTATTTGGTCTTTTGTCACAATCTGATTATGATCATTTGATAATTCGCAGTTTATCAAATCAAGATGTGTATCATATCATAAGGTAGTTTCTGATATCCAGCCCAATTCAATTCATTAATTTTAATTCATTTATTTTAATAGTTAATTTATGACATTGGTGGAATTTAATAATAATTAATTGAATTTGGTGAAAAAAATAGTTTATTATTATTATTAATAATAATTGTAATGTGCCAGTATCAAACACAATTATTTATTATTTATTTTAATTATTTTATTATTAAGTAAAAATTTATTTTAATAATAATGAAAAAATAATTAAATTTGGTGGAAATATTCTGATTTATTATTATTATTATTATTAATGCTTGTAGTAGTAGTGATAATAATATAGTGTCAGATGTAAAAAAAAAAGTGATTTTTCTGTAATAAAACAAAACGCTAAAAACGAAATCAAACAATGTGAATTTGGGCATCACAACATTATAATGTACAGTATGAAAAATAGATATTCATTTTGGATATTCAATTTGCTAAAGATTTAACAGTGTTATTAAATTATAAGTGTTTTTCAATATTAACTTTAAGTAAGCATTAGATGATGCGTTAGATCATGCTGTTGTGTTTTATTCTTCATTTGTTGTTCCTCAGCCACGTAAAATAGGTTTCTCCAGTTTTGGCCACCGTAAGAAGCGCACTCACGACTCCACTGACTACATCTGCCCTCTGGATGCTTCACAAGACCAGGCCCTGCTCAATGGGGCCAACCGGCCCTACAGCGGCTTCAGGGGCCTGAGTCCCATCTTTGACAGGGACCCAGAGAGACAGGAGCAGGTGGGAGCTCTACAGATCTGACGCTCTGCTAGCCGTCACCGCTGAGCTTGCAGCCAATAACCCTCCACCCATATCCCACAAAACCCACGACAAGTTCACAACAACACAGGTGCCATTTTATAACATCCCAACATCCCTCATTGACGGACACAAGACAGCAGTATGGACACTGCAGGAAGACATGGATCCAAGGGTTTAGTAATGTAAATGACATCATCTCACAAAGGCAGCAGGGTTTAACAGAACGCTTTTCCCAGAATAGTGCCATTTATCCTGTGATGGACTGTCGGATACATTTGACTTTATATCATTTTTCTGTGATTTATCTAACAAGTATTCCATTTTTGTAACCTAACATCTACTTTGTGCTGTTTTAAAAGACAGTGTGTACAATTTTGTGCAACATTTGCATATTTTAGGGATTAATTTAAAGGTATATTTATGGTGAATTTTTAAAAAGCATACAGACTACTATTAAATGTTCAGCAGCACATTTTAAATAATCAGATGAGGTTATTTTCATACAATAAACTGCACAGGAGTATTTTTAAAGGTAGAAATCTTGCCTCTTCAGTTGAAGATACTATAACGATATATAACCCAAAATATCGTTACATAATCAATAAACCTCCTCAATCACAGTGATATTTGGTTTTTTTTTTAACA